CAAGGTCAGGGGCTTAAATACCGGGAGGTGTGGCTTCTTAGGGACCACCAAGAAAGCGTTATCTCCTCCCCAGTTTTCTGTGTGTATCAGTAGCAACTGGCAGTGGCAAGCAAATTCCTTACAGTTAAGGACCCTGCAAAGGGCCAAGAGCGCGTGGTCCAGCACCTTGCACCTTTCCTCTTTGCAGTCTCTCTCCTTTATTCCTCCTCCCCTTCTTATCGCTCCCTTTCCTCGAGGCTCTGTCACTGAGCCATTTTTTCACACCGTATCTTTCACATGCAAATATCGTCTCCGTCAAACCTGTGCGTACATAACCTTAACATGAGCTGGGCTCCCAGGCGGCCCATTCTCCGCACAGCATCCCATCTAAACGAACACGGCCCAGTAGCCAAGAGTAATTTCACATTTATTTCAATTTTCCAGCATCTCTTAAAGAATATTAATAGGGTCCCAATTTAAATTCCACAGACAAACTGCAAAATTCCTCCGTCTCTTCCTCCGCTTAATATCTCATCTGGCAACTGCTCTGGAATCCCACAAAACTTCCCACACTTAGCCCAGAAGGCACTTCCCCAGCCCCTGACCTCCACCTACTCTTCCTTCCTCACTCAAACTCAGCTCAGCCTCTCCCCAAGACCTGGACGCTCTGTTGCCAGAGCTGTAAGCACGGGACTGGACAGGCTACACTCAGAGAGAGGAGGAAACAGGAATCTGAAAGAACACGGTTCCCTTTAGTCATAACTTCTTGAATAGTTCTAAATTTCACCCCAGTAACACAGGCCAAATATGGTATCTAAGAGAGCTCTGAATGGTGAGTGAGGAGGAATTGATTTTCGTTCTGGCTCCGCTGCTAATTACGCACACAACCTTTGACAAACCACTCTGCTCCCCAGCCTCCAGCTCCCTGATTGCCCCAAGAGGAGACAGCCCCGCTTCCAAGGGCTGTTGTGAGGACCAGATGAGCTGCTCTCCATAACGTGCCTGGCGTGCCGCAGACAAGCAGAAAGGTTCATTCCCCCTGTGATTCCTCACCTGTAAAATGGGCTAATGATGTATGCCTCACTCACCTCCCTGGATCTCTCCAAGGATCAAATTAGCAAATGCATGTGGAAGCCCTTTATACACCAGCCGGCGCCGTGCAGATGAGGTATGGTGTGTTCTCAGACCTCACTGAATGCAAAAATCTCCGCTTTACACAGGATGCTTTGTTCATTACAGACCTCACAAACAGCTAACATTTCTGTGGGCCAATTATAATCAGAAAAACCGAAGGAAACCACCCTTCTCTGCTTCCCTCCACCCACCCCGCCAGCCCGCCCCGCCACCATCCAACACACACTCTGCAGGCAAGAGAATTCTGCCTTGGAGCCCGTGGAAGAGGATTTATTCAACCTAAAGGGACAAAGGTTCTTGGGGTAAGATGCCACTTGGGACTCTGCATCCCATATCAGAGCTCCTGGAACTGAGACTTGCCTCCACCTCTACTTCTAGTCCAGCTTCCTGATAATGCACCTGGCAAGCAGCAGGCGATGGCTCAAGTACGGAGTCCCCAACACCTACATGGGGAATCCAGCTGGAATTCCTGGCTCCTGGCTCCTGGCTTAGGATCAGCCCAGCCCCACCTGTTGCAAGCATTTGGAGAGTAAATTAGCAGATGGAAAATTTCTGTCTCTATGTGTCACTCTGCCTGTCAAATACATACAAATGAATACACATTTTTTTAAAGTGTGGTGCGTGGGTCAGCAGCAACAGCAGCAGCCCCTGGAAGCATAAGATACAAATGACTGGGGCTGGTGCTGTGCCACCGGCATCCCATGTGGGCACCGGTTTGAGTCCCGGCTGCTCCACTTCCAATCCAGCTCCCTGCTAATGCACCTGGGAAAGCAGCAGAAGATGGCCCAAGTGCTTGGGCCCCTGCACCCATATGGGAAACCCAGAAGCAGCTCCTGACTCCTGGCTTCAGATCAGCTCAGCTCTGGCCATTGAGGCCATTTGGGGAGTGAACCAGTGGATAGAAGACCTCTCTGTCTCTCCTTCTCTTTGTAACTCTGCCTCTCAAATAGACAAATAAATCTTTAAAAATAAAAAGAAGATACTAATTATCATGCTCCACCACGGAGCTACTGACTCCAAAATTCAGCTAAAAAGAAACTAGCCACAGCAGAGTGTGAAGGACCACTGGTTCACTCTTCTCTGTGATAAGCTGAATATTTGTGTCCCCCAAGAATTTGTGGGGGAGCACTTCAAAAGAAAAGTAGGGAAAAGTAGAATTATATAAGTTTATTCTGGTGCAAAAACCTTTTGGAATCCATGCATAGTTTTTTCATAATAAGTATTTTCCATGAACTTCTGGAAGATCATTCATGTACATGGATCTCAATTTTTTTTTTTTGCAACTTTTCTTTAATTCCATTTCCCATGAACTCTTTAAAGCATAGATGGATGTTGAAATGCTGCCCCTACAGCAACATCATTAGGGGGAGGGGAGCCTCCTGGAGGTCACGAGGATGGGGCCCTCGTAGACGGCCTCGGCGCCTTTCCAGGAAGAGACATGGGAGCGTGTGTGAACCTCTCACTTCTCTCTGCCATCTGAGGATGCGATGAAAAGACAGCTGCCTGCAAACCAGCAAGAGGGCTCAGATCTGCCAGGGCCTCCATCTTGGACCTCCCAGCTCCAGAACTGTGAGAAACAAATGTGATCATCCAAGCCATCCTGGGCAAGCGCTATTGGCAGAGTGGCCCAGGTTAAGACTCTCCCTCCCTCCTTGGGCTCAGCGTTCTCTCCCACTTTTCTCTGCAGAGAAATCGGCTGTCACCTGAGAAATCTCAAGTGAGAGGTCGACTTTGATTCACAAACCAGGCCAGAGGTGCTGGAAGTTACAAGATGGAAGCAGGGCCAGGATGAGGGTGAGGCTGCAGCATCCAGGGTGTAAAATTCCCAACCCCCTTCAAGGTCGTGCAAATTAGCAGCAGAGGGAACCTGTGCTTGGAGGGGTGCAGGGTCCTGAAACCCTAGAGGCTGAAGCTGGGGAGGGGGTACCATGAGGAAAGAAGGGGGTGTATTTATGGGGACACTTTGGAAACCCATGGTTCTCATGGCCATCCCAAAAGGGTGGACACTGAGGTCTTCTCTCACTGGGTGCCAGGGGGCAAGTCTGCTAGGTCAGAAGGCACAGAGCCCCGTAGTCCAGCCCCTCAGGCAACCCGGAATGGGCTGGACTTATCACTAGAGACCCTGAGCGGAAACCAGCCGGCTCTGGTCTGAGTGTACATCCATGTGGATGGGTTGCATGGCAGCCAAACCTGCAGGAGGCACTGAAGAACCTCCTTGGTTTCCCTGTCAACAGCAGACGATAGAGGCACCTTCCATGCCGCAAAGCAATCCGTGCCGCAAAGCAATCCACGCCAAAGTGACCACCCAGCTGGACAAATGACATATGAAACTGATGCCCTGACTCCCAGCCACCCCAGGGGGAAGCTGCAGCCACACCCCCACACCCTAAGGGTCAGAAGAGAGGGAAGGACCCATCCATTAGGTAATCATAGCAGCAGTAATAGTGCTACTATAGCCACTGGAAAGACCTATGATGTGCCCAGGTGCTGGACAGTCTGTGTTCTAGGTGTTCTGTTTTGGGTGTTTCATACTCACTACCACTGATCCTGGCATCACACATGCTAGTGTCATCCCCAGGATGAGCTTAACCCCTGAGCACCGCCACACACAGACACACACACACACACACACACACGGTCCAGGGGCACCATGCATAGTCCCAGGCTGTGTTGTGCAGTGCTCAACACGAGAGCTGTACATACATGTATGTACACACACACAGACATGACCCTAGCGTGGACCAGGTCCTGTGTCAAGCCTCAAAGATCCCAGCAGAATTTAGCATGGCCCTGGCCTTTGAGGGGCTCAGAGTTGACGGCGGAGGAGCCCAGAACAGCATCGTGTGCATGGTGCTGTGTGAAGCTAACAGGGCCTTGGGGATGCAGGGGGAGGGGAGGCGTGACGCCGCCCCAGTGTTGGGGGGGGAGGCAAGGCCGGCTCACGAAAGCCCCTCTGTGCCAAGCCAGGGAGGGCAGAAATCAGCCTCGCAGAGCCGCGTGAGACAGTGGCAGGGCTTTCAGCAGAACAGTGACATGATGGAATTTACTCTTCGGAAATGTCTCTCCGGCGGCCCTGTGGAAGAATTAGGGGTGGGAGGGCAGTGAGGATTTTGTGGCCACCCAGCTCAGCAACAGAGCATGGAGCCCAACCCAGCCAGAGCGAGGGGAGCACCAGCCACTCCCACCCCATTCCCACGCTGGCCCTGACTGGGGACACAGCCTGACCCACAACAGCCACTCGGCCCCTGGTGCTGCCCTGGAAGAGCCATGCCCCTCGACTGGTGGGAGCAGCCTCCACTCAGACCCGCAGGCAGCAGCTGGGATGGTGTCTGTCGGGGGGCAAGGGGGAGCAGCACGCATGGGAGGGCAGGGCTGCAGGGTGGCTGCCTGGGACGGCAGGTGGGCATGCAGACCCCCAGCCAGCAGAGGAGTGGTCAGAATGGATCTGGGAGCAGGCAGGGTAATTGCAGCTTTGCATTCTGGTTGCCATTGTTACACTGGCTCATATTGCTGAGTCCTTATTCATTGGGCTATTGGGCACTTGACACACACAAACACACACACACACACACACACACACACACACAGAGTCCAGAGCACAGAGAAAACTGTCACAAACACATAAAAGTAGAGCAAGTTAGGCAAAGAAGCCAATAGGCACAGACCACAGGTGCTCCCGGAAGTATATCCGGGAATCCACACTTCTTCCATGCACGCTGACATGTAAATATGCCTAGGGCCCAGCCCACTTTCTGCCCCCCACGGAGCCAAGCCTCGGCTCAGAAAGCTGCCAGCTCTCTCCTGACGCAGCTGACGCACACTGGGGAGTGAGTCCTGCACTGACGCTCACTTCTTAGAGCACGTCTCTAAGTGCAGCCAGAGAGCGGGAGCCAGAGCAGGGGCCAAGAAACCACCTTGGGCAGCTCTCTCCCTGAGCCTGAGGCCCAGAGAAGAAGGGTTAGTGAGGGTCCCTGTTTGCTTCTCTCGTATTTATCCATTCACCGCTCCCACAAAGCCCTACCACGCTCCTCCCTTTGCCATGCCTTGTTCCAATGGCAGGGACGGAACAGTGGGCAAGAGTGGTGCCTGCCCTCCGGGAGCTTACATTTTAGTCCGCAATCGCCAAGACGACCAAGTGCAGTAAAGGAACATGGGGTAAAAAGAGGAGCTGGGGTAGGAGGGAGAAGGGGGAGAGAGAGAGAGCACCTGGGTAGAGGACATCTGGGTGAGGACTGAAGGAGATCAAGGAGCCTCTTAGGGGGAGAATGCTCCATGCAAAGGAGACGGTGCAAGGCTCCTTTAAAAAGGTCACGGGCAATTGAGGGGTGGACAGCTGGCACAGCGCTGAAGATGCATTCCGTATGAAAGCGCTCGGGTTCCAGTCCCCCAGCTCTGCTCCTGTCTCTGGCTTCCTGCTGATGCAGCAGGTGACCACTCAAGGAGTTGGGTCCCTGCACCCACACGGGAGGCCTGGGCTGAGTTCCCTGCTCCTGGGCGTTTGAAGAGTGAACCAGCAGATGGGAGACCACAGGAGCATGCATTTCAGCCTGAGCATATTGTTTGAGACACTGTAGACATCTGGATGAAAGTAGAGACGAGGCAGTCGAAGTAGGAGTTGGGAAACCAGAAACCAGGTCACAGGGGCAGAGTCAGGCCTTGACCTGAGGAGTCATGGACCACCCTAAATCCCACTGAAGGGCGACAGAAGGCCCAGGGCAGTTGGTTCCATGAGTTCTGGTAGGTTAAGAAGTTCATCCTTTTTTTTGTAAGATTTATTTAGTTATTTGGAAGGCATAGTGACAGAGAAGGGGAGAGATAGAGAGAGACTGACTAGAGGCTAGGCCAGGAGGCTGGAACTGCATCCCATGCAGGTCCCCCACACAGGTGGCAGGGACCCAAGCACTTGATCCATCATTTGCTGCCTCCCAGGCATAGTAGCAGGAAGCTGGATCAGAAGCAGCGTAGCCAGGACTCGAAACAGCACTGTGATACGGGATGTAAGTGCTCCCACGTGGCAGATGCTGTGCCAAAAAACCACCGTGCAAAGTTGATCTTAAGATGATGACAAACTCCATGCAGTCTTTGGAACAGCATTGTCCTGGGGGACTGCGAAGCCAGCACCGTGGAGCACTGGCATTCGACTGAGCCACTCTGTGTCCAGACACGGGGAAGGTCAAGTCTTCTCCAAACTCATCCATCCTTGGAGATCTCCAGGAGTTCATCAGGGAACCTGCTGAGCAGCCAGTGAAATGAGTTTGCTTAAGCCTTGCTCAGGCAGCAGAATAAGCTTGGTAGACTAATTTTCTCTAGACCCACAAACCCCAGAGGCCTGCGCTACAGAGAACAGGCCAACCAAGAGAAAGGAAGCCACCTCCTGGTACTCTCAAAGCTATGCTCAATCTATGGTCAAGTGTGCGCAGGCCGCGGGGTTGAGAAGAAGGACGTCTGAGGGACGCTGTAGCTCTGTCTCCCAGAAGCAGACCCTGAGACAAGGATTTGGTTATAAACAGTTTGGGAAGTGAGTCCAGGGAGCAGCACCCACAGTGGGGTAAGTGGGGTGAAGAGCATCAGGAAATAAGTGTATTGACGTTCTGCTTACCGCTCAGTCCACTGGGGGCCTCTAAGAGGCAGTGCAGGGTGTCCCAGCAGTGGGTGAGGAGTCTGGAGCTCCAGCCAGTGGCTCTCATCCATCCTTGGTTGAAAGCTCTTCCCACAGACCATTCCCAAATTCCTGGAACTTCCAGTCTCTCCCATACCTGAGCCGGCCACTCTCCTGTGGCCAGGAAAACCACCCAGCAAAGCAGCAGGTGCTGTGGCAGGAAGCTGTCCACACACACCGACACCAGCGGGCCATGGGGGACGGGCAGAACACAGCGTCGGTCACCTTGGGTTTCACCAGAACTGCCTGTGCTCCGTAAGTGGGGAGTCCACTTCGGGTCTGGACCCCGAGAGCCATCTGGGAGCCAGCATCCCTGTAAGCAGAGAGGGAACGGTTAAGGCCGAGTCTCCTAGATCCAGCACACAGAAGGCACTCTTGGCTGCTCTGCCATCAGACCCTCAACCTGGACCAGAATTCTGCAGTGAGCAGGAGAGGCCCCCTCCCCTGGAGATCTGCAGAGAACCCCCATTCCCTGGGCCTTAGTGGGTGTTTGAGTTAGTGCATGAACAGGGTCCGGGGCTCGGGAAGGAGCTTCTGGAGTAGGAAAGGGGTGTGCTGACACAGAGGTTCAGATCAGACCATGGCAAACACCCTGGCCCTCTGGCTAGGGAACAGCTCTGGGTCCGTAGTGTGGGAGATCTGGAGGTGGAAATCACAGCCCTCTCTATCCTTCTCAGCTGTCACACGTGTGTGTAACAGACACTTGTGTAGTCTCATGAAAGCCCAGACTTTCTCATCAACAAATCCGAGCACAGACTCCAGATGGATCCACCCTTCATGACTGCGAGAGTTCATTTTCTCCTGCCCATAACGGAGACCAGGTAAGTAGTGCCCCATTCCCTCCGCTCTGGCTGGATGAGCATCTCCGTATGTAACAAGCTAAAACTTTTACAGCTGCCTGTTTGTCGAGAACCTTTTGCATGTGATACAACACACAGAGGGAGAAACATGGGAAGTCCACCATCTTCCAAGAGCTCCCAGCTCCTGCAGATAAATCCCTGCCCGTGGTCAGATACTTGCAGAAATAGTTCCATGAATACAACATTCAAATGCCAGTGCCTACCACTCACAGATAAGAACACTGGGCACTGGTAGCACTGGATCAGATCTAGAACTCTCTATCTAGCAGAACCCTGCTCCTCCCTCCCCCCGCCCCCGCCCCGTTTAGCCTCCCTGTCTACACTCAGACAGCTGCTGCTACTCAACCATCAGTCAACCACCTCACTCAAGTTGCATTTGCAACATAATCTTCGCAATGGCTTCTGTGGGTTTTTGTGTTTCTGACCACGCTGGGAGGTCTCACATAGGCTTTGGAATTATATAGCCCTGGCTTGACCAATGTACTCTCCATCAGCAGGCCCTGTGACCTCAGAACCTACTACCTGAAAACTGAGATGGGAATATTCCGGTGGAAACTTGACAGTGCCTTTCTCTCCTCTCTCTTTTTTTTTTTTTTTTTTTGAACAGGCAGAGTGGACAGTGAGAGAGAGAGACAGAGAGAAAGGTCTTCCTTTTGCCGTTGGTTCACCCTCCAATGGCCGCTGTGGCCAGCGCACCGCACTGATCCGATGGCAGGAGCCAGGTGTTTATCCTGGTCTCCCATGGGGTGCAGGGCCCAAGCACTTGGGCCATCCTCCACTGCACTCCCGGGCCATAGCAGAGAGCTGGCCTGGAAGGGAGGCAACCGGGACAGAATCTGGCGCCCCAACCGGGACTAGAACCCGGTGTGCCAACGCCGCAAGGCAGAGGATTAGCCTAGTGAGCCGCGGCGCTGGCCGACAGTGCCTTTCTGCAGGTTAAAAGCTGTCGGAAAACGCCAAAGGAAATAGAAATGCTAATTGTGCCAATTTGAGCACAACATATTGTAGACATACATCCAATTATCACACAGATACATCCAATTAAAATAGTAAAAATAAGTTTTAAATTATTGATTATTGGCAATATCATAGGTTCCATCTAAAACCTACCTCGGGAGTCCTGGGGAGGATTTAGTGGGAGGATACGTATGTCACCGCAAGGTATGTACATTAGATCCAACCAGCTGGGGGTCACATTCCCTTAGGGCTCAGGGTCTCCTCCCAAATAGCTCTGCAGGAATCCCTGTGGCTTCCGCTTCCCTCCAGCAGGTTCCCTCTGGAATGGCCTCTGGTATTTATCGTGCACCAGCTCTCTGCCAGGTACTGCACCAAGGCCTTTCATACATGTGGAGTGCTCCCATCTCTCCACCTGGTGAGGCACGCATCCTCCTTCCAAAAGTAACGGGACAGAAGGGCCAGGAAGCAAAGTATCTTGCCAAGGTCACAGGAGCAGTAAGTGGCAAACCCAGGAGTCAAAGCCGAGCCATCGACACCATCCACCTTCCCAGGCCAGTTGCTCCTGCTCCTACCGCCCTCCTGAGCTGCTTCAAGCCAGGCTCCCACCGCCTCCTCTCGCTCTCCATGAACCAGTGGGTTCCAGGTGTGGGCACAGGCCTCTGTTTCTCAAAAGTGCCGCGATCGAGCCCACGTGTCAGGAGCCTGATTAAAGGGAAGAGAGAGAGAACAAAAATCAAGCAGAATTGGGGCTGGGAAATGAGACATAACCACAGATGTACGAGAGATTAAAAGATCACAAGGGGATTCTGCTCTGTGCCACAAAATGGAAACTCTAGAAGAAATGGATATTTGCCTTGCAACAAATAAATTACCTAAATTGACCCAAGGAGAAACAGACGATGAGATGGGCCATTACAGCAAGCCAGACTAGAAAGGTGATTAAAGAGCTACCATTATAAAAAAGGCACCGGGAACAGATGGTTTCACAGCTGAGTTCTATGTAACCTTTAAAGAACAAATAATTCCAATGTTAATTAAACTCTTCCAGATCATAGAAGAAGATAAAACACTGCAGTTCACTTTCTGAAACCGCACTGCGTTGGTACCAAAGCCCAATGCACACCACTCAAAGAAAGGCAATTGGAAACCAATTGTTCTTGGGAGTGTAAATGTAAAAATTCCAAATACAGCGCTGGCAAATGAAATCTGGCACAATGTCATTATGATCAAGTGCTATTTATCCCAGCGATACACAGATCTATAACAGGAAATTGATTAATGTAATTCGGCCCATCAACACACTCAAGGGGGAGAAAGGTGAGCATGCCAATACATGATGAAAATGTTGGATGAAATAAAAACCTTCCGCGAAACACAGGCAGAAGAAACGCACTCATTCATCCAACAGATACTCGCATGTGGTAAGCACCCGTTGCTTCACACCCCATCATAGACATGAGGATTGTAGCCATGACCGAGAGAAAGATGCCCTGCGCTTAACGACAGAGACAAACGATACACAGGATCATTTCTATTATGATGGGGGTAGTCGCTAAGTCGAAAAACTACAGCCCCTGTTAGGAAGTTAGAATTTTAGAGCAGACAGAGAAAGTGTTGCCCAGAGGTGAAGCCTGAAGCAACAGGGCACGGTCACACCTGTCTGGGGAGGGGCGGGCATTCCAGACAGATGGCGGGAAGCCCCCGGGGCAGGCAGGTGCATCCTGGAGAACAGCTCCAGCAGGTGACACAAGACAGCAGTCTCATTGTCACAGGAACCGCCAACACAGAGAGGTGACACGTGCTACTCTCTGCCTCCCAGGCCATGCTCACCTCTCGTGGCGGCCGAGCACTCCTGCATCCAAATCATTAGACTCCCTTCTCCCCCCGCCCCCCAAGGTCAGGGGGTGTTCCACCCGAGGCTGATCAACAACGAGATGAGGTCATGCTTCCAGGGAAACCTCACACCTGAATCCACAAGGCTGGGCTGACTCCCAAAGCCAGACAAAACCATCACAGTCTGGGTTACTGAGCCTGAAAACCACACTAGGTCAGGGACTCCAGAGGGCTGTGTGGTTAGGGAAGCATCTTTCCCATTCTTCCGGGATCCAGCCTGGTGAGATACAGCAAAGCATCATGGCTCACGGCATCCATCCTTTCTGTCTGTTGAGGGGATGGGAGGTCAGACCTGGGGCATGTCTCAGCCTGCTTCCTGCTGCGAGAACAGAATGCCACAGGCAAAGTCACTTCTAAAGAAATTTATTTTCCCCCAGTGCGGGAGCCTGGGATGGCCAAGGTCAAGGTGAGGGCCTCCTGGCTGTGTCAGAGCATGGCAGGGACCTCCAAGACAAGACAGCACACAGGAGAGGGGTGCTGAGTGATAAAGCCTCTCCCGGGACAACTGGCCCTCTCTGGCTGCAACAGCCTTAGTCTACAGGTGAGGGCAGAGTATTTAGTGCCTAACCACTTCCCAAAGGCCCAGCCAAGCGACACTGCTACAATGGCAATTAAATGTCAGCCCAGTGGACAGCAGGTTAAGCTGTCATTGGCGACTCTGGCATCTCCTTTGAGCGCCATTCCGGTCCTGGCTGCTCTATGTCTGATTGAGTCCCTGCCAATGCACCTGGGAAGGCGGCAGAAGATGGGCCAAGTGCTTGGGTCCCTGCCACATGTGTGGGAGACCCAGATGGAGTTCCAGGCTCCTGGCTTCACCTTGGCCCAGCGGCAGGTCATTGCGGCCATTTGGGGAGTGAACCAGAGGACAGGAGATAGCTCACTCTCGCTCTCTCACCCTCTCTCTACTTTTCCCTTTCTCGCTCTCTCCCTTCTTCTCCTTCTGCCTTTTTTTTTTTTTTTTTTACAGGCAGAGTTAGACAGTGAGAGAGAAACAGAGATAAAGGTCTCCCTTCTGTTGGTTCAACCCCCCAATGGCCGCTACGACCAGCGTGCTATGCAGATCCGAAGCCAGGAGCCAGGTGTTTCTCCTGGTCTCCCATGGGGTGCAGGGCCCAAGCACTTGGGCCACCCTCCACTGCACTCCCGGGCCACAGCAGAGAGCTAGCCAGGAAGAGGGGCAACCGGGACAGAATCTGGTGCCCCAACCGGGACTAGAATCCAGGGTGCCAGTGCCACAGGAGGAGGATTAGCCTAGTGAGCCGCTGTGTGGAGTGAACTAGTGAATGGAAGACCTCTCTCTCTTCTCTCTCTCTCTCTCTCTCTCTGCCTCTCCCTCTCTGTAACTCTGACTTTCAAATACATAAATAAAATATTTTTTAAAAAAGAGAAACAGGAATGCTGGAAGAAAGATGAGACTTAGTGGAGACAGGACAGCAGGGCCCCTGTACCCACCACCTCCTAGCGCAGGGCCCACAGCAAATCTGATCACATGGGTTGGAAGCCTCACCATGGGAGCTGTGACTGCCGTGACCATGAAGAGACTGTGGCCATCAGAGCCTTCTCATTGGTCTTGTGATGCCGTGTTCTACAGAAGACCATCATCTTGAAGTTGTCAGGGCTGTCAACAGTGGGAGCCCAATGGTGCAAGGGTCTTACCCCGGCATAGACAGAAGATCCACCTGGCATCAAAGCATCAACACTGGGGTGGGCGTCCGAATCGTCCTGGCACCGCCACCGCCTGGAGAAAGGCAGACAAGTGCCTCAAGCTTGCTGAGCCTGTTTTTTTTTTTTCCTACAAAATGAAAATGTTAATGTTCCACCAAGGTTATTAAGAGGATAGAATGAAATAATGCTCGTGGCAGGATCCAACTCATAAGAGCTTAATAAATTTGAGGCGTCCGATTCTCTGGAGGACCCGAGAGATGAGTTCTTTATGATTCTCCACCCTACCACTCCACCGCGTGGCTCTCCCGCCCTGCCCCCCACCCCACTTCTCCAGGCTTCAGTCCTGATAAATCCGGGAGACAGCCCAGTGTCCGAGGGCCACCAGGAACGCACTCACCGTCAAACCACCACGGGCTCCTGACCGTGCTGCTCAGGGAGAGCATGCACCTGGCACACAGTGGGCAGTGTGAGGGGTGCAGGCGGGCCTGCTGGGTGCCGCTGGGGAGGCCTCGGGCAGCAAAGGCTGGTCCAGGTCGGTGCCGGCAGGAAGCAGGGGCTGTTTTCCAGGTCGGGCTACCTTAGTCCTTTTCATCTTGGAGGCAAGAGGGACGAAGCAGGGCTAACGCTGTGCCTGCAAAGACACAGGAGTCACTCTGGTTGGCTGGGAGAAGGGGCTGCTCATTGCTTGCTATGGTTTCATAAAATCCAGCAGTTGCCATGTCCCGCCATGGTCCCGGAGAGCTGTCTGGTGTCCGTGGTGTGGGGCTCATCTCAGGGGGAGCTGCTCGGGCCACAGGACGTGTCTCTGACTCCGACTCTTCCTTCTCCTGCCTCAACACACAGCAGGAGATGCCACTCCTGGAGAGCTCAGGGTGCTTTGCTTACTTACGTACCTGCATAACGTCCGCTCCCAGCTTTACCCAGGATGTGTTGCCCGCGGTCACACCCTCACCCCGGCCCCCAAGGGAGATTCAAGAAGCCAGCTTCATAGCGACCAGTGAGGAGACAGGGGCCCAGCTGGGGAGGACGTGGCCGAGCGCCAATGTCTGTCCCTCTTGCCTGTGGCCTCCAGGCCCTCTTGTGTGACCTCACCTTTGCACTTGACCAAGTCGGGACTGAGAAGGCCTCTGGCCTTGGGGAAGACGCTGACCAGGGAGGGGGTGCGCCCGAGGGCTCTGTGACCTTGCACAGGCTGTTGCCCTCTCTGGACCTCCGTGCCCTGCTCACCATAACAAGCACACTTGTCCCTAAGGTTGCTCCATGTCGGCCATGCTAGGGAGCCAGCACAGCCACTGAGCTGCCGAACTCACAGGGATTGACTTTGGTGGCTGGAGGAGAGACGCAAACTGGGCCCTGGAGTGCCGAGGCAGGAGCTGCCAGTCAGCCTTCCCTCAAACTGTGCCAAGGACTCTCAGGTGTTGCTGTCAGCAGGTGGTCCTGGGCAACGTGAACACGCATTCATGATGTGCTAGGCAGTGCCCTAAGCTCCTCGCGTGGCCACTCACGTAATATCACAACCACCCTGTCTGTTATTCCCATTTTACAGATTGTGGGGAGCAACTCGGACTAGACTAAGTTACTGGAATTAAGACTTATTCTATGCATCTGCTCTCCCACAATATGGCGCTGAGAAGGGAGAAGCAGCTTCTACACAGCTGCCTCCAGTTCAACCAATAAACAGCAGGACCTGCTCCTGATTGGAGGAGAGCAGCGTACTCGGCGTGTGGGTAGCAGAGTTGGGATTGGTGGAAGAGGACTATAAAGGAGGAGAGAGACAACATGCACCAGGAACATCTATCTGAAGGAACACCTGTGCAGCCCCCGAGAGAGCCGGCCGGCGGTGTGCCGCTCCCCCGCGGAAGTGGGGAAAAGTGGCAGGGGGAACCGCCCTTCCACGGAGGTGGAAGGGTCGGTAGCCAACCCGGGAAGAACCAGCAGCAAACCCGGGGAGGGCCGAGCAGACAGAAGAACAACACAGGGTCCTGTGTTGTTCCTCCACGAAGAGGGGGAGCGACACAGATGGGGAAATTGAGGCATGGCACTATTAATTCAGTCAAGGCATCAAGC